GGTAGACAGTAATTTACGTCAATGCTTACGTACTCAATATTGGTCGTGAGAAAATATGAACAAAGTCTGATTCAACAAACAACCACAGCAAACTTTGCGTGGGTGGATACAGTTAACATATAGATGATCTGACATTCACGAAACAGCCACAAAGAGATGAGAGATTAACTTTCCGTGAGAAACAACCAATCAGAAGACTGTGTTTTTCTGCTAACGATAATCTATGATAATGTACATGAAGATTCATAAATATGTGTTGATTTCCTGGCCTGTTACCTGGCCATTGTCTTCTGTTTTTAAAATATTACTCACCATTTTTATTGTTTAGAAGATAGAAGGAATGGTTGAAAAAAATTTTTACTTTACAATTAGATCCTCATCTGTAGCCCTACTTCGGTATCTCTGTAGCAATTTTATCACAATACAAATGTGTAACAATCTACCGTCAATGGTCTTCTTAATGAGTTCCTTTTCTACGTAGAGGTGAGGCCATCATAATCCACTTGAAGCAGCCAAGCCTTTGCGTTTAGAAGAAGTTCATGTAGCCATTTTCTATACTATTGGCAATCATTAAATGAGTGTCAAAAAACTGGCAATTTCCTCCTCCTCCGCCTCTTCCTATGTCCTTTACAAGTTATTATTGTTATAAATATTTTAATATTTTGCTTACTGCACCTTTAACTGTTTATAACATAATCAATTATGTGATCCACTTATTTGATTTTCATAAATATTCCTTCCCTTTAGTTGTTTTATTGATTTTCTAGGTTTTTCTTCCATTGGGAGGCTGAAGCCAGCAGGGGCGTGGGGTCCACCAAGTCAGGTAGGAAAATAGTTGTTCAACTAAGATATTGGCTGGCAACTGCATTAAGTATATCGCAAATTGGTAGAAGATGGAATTTGTCGACCCCTAGACATTATCCCAGCAACTGAATGGTCTGAGATAATAGGGCCTTGGGTTCGAATACCAGTGAGCGTGTACTGCCAAAGAGTTCCAAACTAGGAGAAAACAGGTGTGCATCACTCCTTGGTTTTCCAGTTGTTCTCTTATTGATGTCAGCTCATGATCGAATCTGTAACAAATCGAATCTCTGAAAACCAATACATGATACCTGTTGTTACTGGCAAACTTATCACCAATAGATTGAATCAATGTCTATCCGATGGTTAAATAAATTTACTAAAATTAATATTTTGCAACCATTAAGAATTTATACCACGCTGGAGTTTCAGCGGAATGATCTTGGCTAACCGATCAGATCACTGACTTTCCAAAGTAAAAGGCTGTATATTAACTGTTTAGACATGTTTATGACATGAACAACACCGATCAGAAGTTAAGATATACTTTTACAGTATATGAGAGACCCTTACTCTCTGAAAATCGTTTTCAATACACGTACATAAATTTGTCGTAGCTAAACTTTCCTAGGTAATGAATGATAGTTTTTCATGACAGGATTCTGGTTGGTCAAAGTCACTTCGTTGAAAATTCGGTGTGACATTTTAACATTAAATCGCTACTTTCATGACATCTACGTAATGTCACTGGTGGGAGTAATTGTGAGTCTCATCTTGTTTGACCATACTGCAAAATAACTTCGACTTAGGCCCCCGGGGAGTGAATTTTCAGAACCACTTAGTTATTCAACTAAGGAGTTTCTAGGGATGATGTATCGCGAGTTCATTGAAGTATAAAAACATGAATTTGAGGATCTCAGACTATATCACATACAGGGACACTGCCTTAGCCAATCTAAAATGAAATACATGACTGATGTACTCCAGATCTAAAGCTATTTTTAGCTGGGGAGTTAATCAACTCATAAAACCGTCTCACCCAGACACTAATAACAGTAATCAAGTTCACGAGTGAATTTTTCTTTAAGAAAAGGTAAATTATTAGACTAAATTGTACTCAAAATGACAAACATCTTATGGTTATGGCATACACAGTCACTATGACATCAGTGATTCACAAAGATTATATGTGAATATTACTGACATACAGCTTTGGGTGTTTTCAGTGCGATTGGTCATTATTAGGCAGATATTTGTGGCCGTATGTTACATAGGATTAATTGATGCCCGGTCTTCAGTATTTTTTTTTCAGAGTGATGTAGAACTACCTTATTGGTTGATTACTCTCTGCTGTCAAACATGACAATAAAATAATTGTGAACGTGAAGTTCAAGTGAAAAGAAACAGCGCACTAGGGGAGTAAATGAATTTACTTAAAGGAATAGGTAACTATAATGAATAGATAACTTACTTGAGGTTCAATCAAATGAACATGACCAACCAATCAATGTCAAGATTTGTAAAGAATAGAGTGAAAAACTCTTTATCACTCAGAGTTACTCGTAAATACGATGAAAAATGTGTGGACTGCTTGAAATCAACATTAATATTGGTTTGGACAGAGTGAGAAGAACACTTTTTGAGCAAAATAAGATGACGGTATTATATTTTATTGGTTCTTGTCAGATACGTACAGTTATGAACAGATGAATACTAATATAAAAAATATTCAAATACTTTAGTTATTGATCATAAAGGTTATGTTACACTCGACTACATATACCAATTTACATTTACGTGACAAATCATAGACATCGGACGAACGATTTGTGATTGCATACCTGAGCATATTCCAAGAAACTTACATTTGAAACATGCAAATGTGCTGTTTAGTGCGTTTACTCGTCACACTTCTTATGTAACCATCATGAAATCGATGCATTAAGTTCCTTTCAGATAATTAAAGTTCAAGACAGCTCCAGGTTACTACGTATCACTGAAGCGATGGTCATTAAACGACTGGAACCGAATTTATGCATTTATGAAGGAAACCGTTACTTATCTGGCTTTATCTTAGTAAACATACTTTATATTATTCAGTTGTTTTAGTTGATTCTATTATCTTAATTATATTTTGTTTTGACAATGTAATTCCCGCGAACCCCCCGCCTCAAAATTTTGTCTTTTGCTATTCTATTGATCGGACTCATTTTTAACCTCTATTCACCTAAATTGTTCAACACTTACATAAGTGTACCATTGATTTTACGCCTATATTCAGTTTTACAACATTCGTTGATAATTTGAATTGATTTAGCAGATAATGACTAGCAGTGGAATCCAGGATGCTAATTTCATTATGTTTGGAACTCGTCAGTTGGATTTGCCTGCATTCCCCAGTGAGTGTTGGTGTTCCTACTGAGAGGCGGCCCTCGTAACCCAAATGATCTAGCGAATAATGCTTCAGCGTTTGAAAAAATGGGTGCTGGGTTCGAGCCTTTATGAATATTTTGTATACAGATATTAAAATTTGTTTATGAGTATATGTAATGACAAAAACACACAAAACATAATGAACGAAGTCATTGTGTTCTTTTTGCTTTGTTTAACTTTATCCGGCGAAGTAATTTATATGAAATGAGTATTAATTTTGGTGGGTGAATAATTTTCAGACGAATGGATACTGAACAAATAGTACGCTTTTCGATAACTTCATCATCAGGCTCTACAGTTATATACACATACATTATAGTGAATGAATGAATGAATTAGTGTTATGAAAAACAACATCTGACTAATAATTGTCAGATTTGCAGTTATTTTTATGACATTTGTGACATCGAAGTTAAAGTTAAAGCTAACAGGTGTAATCTAATTTATCAGAAAGCAAAGCTGTGAATTACAAACTATGACATTTTGTATACTGTGAAATTTAACACAGTACGATGTGAGGGATTCGGAAAAACTCAGCCATACAATTTATATTTTAACTACACGTTCTCATACGGCAGGATATAGTAAGCCTAGAGCTAAAGTTAACTAGAAAAAACTGACCATTTAACAACTTATATTTTATTTTACATCTGAAAGACTCTGTTATTTAAAAGAAAATCAAACAAGGAGAAAGTGGTGTAACTAGGGAAGACAAAGACCAGGCAACAGGCCAGGAAATCAACACATATTTATGAATCTTCATGTACATTATCATAGATAATCGTTAGCAGAAAAACACAGTCTTCTGATTGGTTGTTTCTCACGGAAAGTTAATCTCTCATCTCTTTGTGGCTGTTTCGTGAATGTCAGATCATCTATATGTTAACTGTATCCGCCTACGCAAAGTCTGCTGTGGTTGTTTGTTGAATCAGACTTTGTTCATATTTTCTCACGACCAATATTGAGTACGTAAGCATTGACGTAAATTACTGTCTACCAATTTGGCTAGAAGCCAGCTCTCACCACAGTAGCATAAGCATAAAAAAGCAAGTTTGAAACACTGTATCCGTAATCTTGTATGGTAAATGATAATATTCTTTTATATTTTGTATCACAATGCATTAGTTCTACACTTTTTCTGAAGTTCAATTTTGAACCTGTTCGTGCACAAATAACTCAGTGGTAATATCTCCAACCTCAGAATTGTGCAGCGAGAGTGTGAACCTCAGAGGGGATATCAGTCTCAAAAATGTTACATACACGTTCTACAGATAAGTGCCAGTATTCATGAATCTTAGCTATATGTCTACATGCGCATTACCACCCTCAGTCGTCTGATGTCAGCTGAAAGTGCATAAAGATGGTGTGTCACCCAGTTTGCCAGTCACATTATGAGAATGACTACGGAACAGACACGTGACCAGTGAATGAAGTCAAAATAACATTACAATAAATTGTACCTGTTATTACTTGGAAGACATTGCGTGGAAGACTAGTTTTCTACTGAAGATGCATACAAAACATCTCTGATTTGTCTGGAAGGCATATAATGGATAGTATCTATATTGAAAGTCTATTGCTAGTAAAATAAAGTAGGTATTAATTCAGTGAATGTACTTATAGAAATTGATGGATGTGTTTGTGTTAAATATGTGCCAAACACAAACACACGTACACATGACAACAATTCAAGGCAACAGATCACCTGAGATAAGCAAATGTGAAAGAATCACTGGAGGTAAAGTGTATCATACTTGACAACTTACTTCATTACTTGATCGATCAACATTTTTCCCCGCTGATTGATATGTTTTATTGATGGTATGATCTAACATATTACATATTCGATTAGTTTCAGTTTGTTTAATCAGACGAGATGATTCCTTTAGGATTATACAACGCGGTGGTGCACCGATGTTATTCAGCACTTGACGCAATGGATCCTTCAGATGGAAGGTAATCTGATCACGATAAGTAACCAAAAGGTGATGCAGTTCAAATAATTCCTTTCAAGGAAGTAAAACGAGAAGAATAAACAATATAGGGTAAGCCATTACTCAGACGACTCTTGTGGAAAAATACCTATTCAGAATGGTTTAGTCAATGTTTAAATTGGCACTTAATTCCTCTGATAAATTTTGAATAAGGGCACAGTAGCAACAGTTATTGCAGTAAAACAAGATGAATTTCTTAGGGTTCTTTATCGGATACATACAACTTGAATATGCCAATCAATGTGACATAACCTAAACATACTTTAACTGAATAGGCAGTTCACTTTATAGGAGCAGAATAACACACCAAAATGAAGACGAGGTACAAGCTACACAGGAAGTTAAAGTAATCATTTATGATCAAAATACAGACATTACATATTCGTGAATAATCTTCATCCAAGCATCCATTAAAGGATCAAAAGAAGTAGTTCAGTGAAGAGGCTCTATTCAGTAAGTTTATTTTATTCTTTAGTTATACAATCGCATCTTCATAAAATATTTTTCATAAAAGAGGGTAGTGACCAAAGTGATGAGTTGTTATAATCATGGTTATTAATATTAATCAATTCACAAGAAAAGTCGAAGAAGGTTGTTAGAGTTACTTAATGAGGATACACAAAGAAACGAAGAAAGACGTGATGTGACTTAAGAGTTCAAAAAGTTTAAAGAACAAACAAACGAGAAAGCCAAGCTAGTATAAAACAACAAAGTTCTTAACATGATAGTAGAAGTGGCTGGACAATTTTTTCTGTTGTGTGTAGAGCTACCCTTTCTCTCTCTCTGAATGACTAGAGCTTCAGTAGTGCAAAGAAGACCGAAGCGTGTTGTCTGTATCAGGTTATTCTTCACTTAGTAGATAACTTTGAAGAAAGGATTTGCTGAGATAGAATGACCAGTGTTGGCAAGGTGTTCAATTATTACTCTCCCTGTAGAGCCACTGCTGCCTTTCTGCGAGCATGGAGGAAAGTGTTCTTGAACCCATTTAGAAAGGACCTGTGTCGAAAGGCCAATACACTTGGCTTCATAGGAACAGGTGAACTGACCAGTGTCCATTTCAGATGATTTCTTTCAGAAGATCTAATTCTTCTTCTAGAGACTCAGGGCTACAGATACGAGCGACAAGGTATTTAATTGAGTTGCATTTTCATCCAACAAGCATTCAACTATGCAAGTCTGATAGTAAACCGTTCTATGTGGGCTTCCTGTGAACAGACATTCTCAAGTTTTCGTCGGTTGGATATCAAGAAAGGGAATATCAGAACCGCTTGCTAATTTAAGAATTATTGCCCCGCATAGATTACTGGCTCGATAGATTTCTAGACGGTCCCAAGCCCGGATAAAGAGAGATGGTTGGGGCGCGGTGCTAGCAACTCCACCCCCAAAACTTAACCAAATCGCTACAGAAACTTCAACGCATAGATATATTCAAAATACTAAAAAAATAAACAATAACCTTATTTTCGCTGAAATCGGGAAAGTGAAATAACGCAGGCTGGCTAAAGCCTTCGGGAAGCCACTCAGCCGATGTGCCTTCTACCGATGGAAGCAAAAATAAGGATGGGGACGTGGAATGTTCGTACAATGTACGAAACTGGAAAGGCTACCCAGATAGCCGCTGAAATGAGAAGACACAGAATAGAAGTGTTGGGAATCTGCGAGAGCAGATGGAACGGAACTGGAAGGTGCCAACTACCTACTGGAGAGACAGTAATCTATTCCGGCCACCTAGAGGACAACCATGAGCACACCGAGGGAGTGGCCATCATGATGTCACCAACAGCAACCAAAGCTCTCATGCAGTGGGAACCAATCTCCTCCAGGATAATGACAGCCAGGTTCAACTCAAAAGGAAGGAAAGTTACAGTCATTCAATGCTATGCGCCTACAAACGTCTCAGAACAAGAGAAGAAGGAGGCGTTCTACAGACAACTACAAACAGTAATGGACAACGTCCCAAATGGCGATATCAAAATCCTGATGGGCGACATGAATGCGAAGCTGGGACGAGACAACACAGGAAGAGAACTCACCATGGGTCGCGAGGCCCTCGATGAAATGAACGACAATGGTGAACTCTTCTCAGACTTCTGCGCCTTCAATGATTTGGTGATTGGTGGTAGTGTGTTCAAACACAAGGATATACACAAGACGACATGGATTTCACCAGATGGAAACACCAAGAATCAAATAGACTTCATCTCAATTTCAAGAAAGTGGAGACGGAGCCTACTGGACACAAGGTCGAGAAGAGGAGCAGATGTGGGTTCAGACCACTATCTAGTAGAAGGGACTTTCAAGGTGAAGCTAAAAGCCTCGAGGATAGCTGGGGATAGGCCACAATGCAAGTTCAACACTCAATTACTGAAGGACACAACCACAAAAGACACCTTCACTGCAACTGTCAGAGCAAAGCAGGAAACACTACGCGACAGCACTGAAGAATCATGCGTGGAAGAACATTGGAAGTCTCTGAAGGCGATTCTCAACGAAACGTGTTCAACGGTTCTAGGAAGAAAGAAGAGACAAGACAAGGAATGGCTCTCAACGGACACTTGGAAATTAATAGAAGAGAGGAGAATGGTGAAAGAGAAAATGATTCAATGCAAGGACGGACAGGAGAAAGAGACGATGAGCTCAACTTACAAAGCACTGGACAAAGAAGTGAAGAAGAGTGCTAGGAAGGACAAAAGACGATTCTACGACAACCTCGCCACTGAAGCTGAGAAGGCAGCAGGCAAAAGAGACCTGAGGACACTATATCAGATAACCAAATCTCTATCCGGGAAGAGATCAACACAAGCGAAACCTATAAAAGACAGCCAAGGGAAGCCCAATACCAAGGAAGAAAAACAGATTAAACAATGGGCGGATCACTTCAAAGGACTCTTGAACCGACCACCACCTGCAACCCGTCCAGAAATACCAACAACAACGCACACACAACTGCAAGTTGACACCAATCCTCCAACGAAAGCTGAAGTCTTGAATGCAATCAAACTTCTGAAAGCTGGAAAACAGCCGGACCAGATGGAATACCCCCTGAAGCACTGAAAGCAGACCCAGAGACGACAGCAGACATGCTGACTCCATTATTGCAAAAGGTCTGGAAGGAGGGAAAGGTGCCTACTGACTGGAGGAAAGGTTACCTCGTGAAACTACCAAAGAAGGGCGACTTAGAACTCTGCAAGAACTGGCGAGGAATCATGCTCCTATCGACGCCAAGTAAAATCCTGAGTCGCATCATCCTGGAGAGAATAAAGGACGCACTGGATACAGAACTCCGACCAGAACAAGCTGGATTCAGGAAAGGCAAATCATGTACTGACCAAATTGCAACTCTACGCATCATCATCACAGAACAAAGCATGGAATGGCAATCAAACCTCTACCTCAACTTTATAGACTTTGAGAAGGCCTTCGACAGCGTTGACCGCGAAGTAATTTGGAAATTACTCGAGTACTACGGCGTACCCCAAATATTCATCAACCTTATTCAACAGCTGTACGACAACGGCACCTGCCAAGTGATCCACAACGGAAGACTCAGCGAGGCGTTTGGAGTAAACACAGGAGTCAGACAAGGGTGCTTACTATCACCAATGATATTCCTAATTGTGGTGGACTGGATTATGCGTCAGACTGTGGGAAACGAGAAGACAGGGATATCCTGGACCGACGTGAAGAACCTAGAAGACCTGGATTTCGCGGATGACTTATGTTTGATGTCACACACAATCGAAGACTTACAAGCGAAAACCGACAAACTGGTCGAAGAAGCAGCCGGCGAAGACAGGACTCCAGGTGAACATAGACAAGACGGAGGTTATGAAAATAACCAACCAACAACAACAGCAGCAACATCCAGCGTCAATCACCATCAACGGGAGGGATTTGAAAGAGGTCACTTCATTCACTTATCTAGGGAGCATTGTCTCAACTACAGGCGGAACGGACGAGGATGTCAAATCGAGCGAGAATCAGGAAGGCGAGAAACACATTCATCAACGACTGAAACCAATCTGGAAATCTTCGTCACTCAGCATCAACAACAAAATTCGGATTTTCAATACAAACGTCAAGTCAGTCAGTTCTTCTATACGGATCAGAAACTTGGGGGCGGGTCACAAAGAATATTTCCAACAGCCTGTTGCAGACCTTTATCAACAACTTTCTTCGGCTCTATACTGAAGATCAGATGGCCGGGCCGGAAAGAATCACCAACAAGAAACTATGGGAACAAACAAAACAAGAACCAATCGCCCAACAAATATGCAGGAGAATGTGGAGATGGATTGGACACTCGTTGAGGAGACTGCTGGGTGACATCGCGCGCGCGTATGGCCATTGCTCGAGTGGAACCCGAAAGGGAATCGGCGAGTGGGACGTCCAAGAGTGACATGGAGGAGATCGTGTGAAGAGGAGTTGAAAGAGTATGGACTAACATGGATGCAGGTGAAAAGTACAGTAGAAGACAGAAGCAAGTGGAGACGTGCAGTTGAAGCCCTATTTTCCATTAGGTACCCAAGGGAACAATAATGAATATATAGTAATAATCCTTATGTGTGAAAAATTTGTGCAGTGAAATGAAATGAATTCGCTGAGAAGAGCCTGCACAATAAAATAACTGTTTTGTTTCTTTACATTATATGTTGTACAAAATGGAATACATTAGAATTTAAGGGTGAATTTTGACATGAATTGAGATAGCTACATAGTCGTACGAAGGTTTATTCAGATAAAATTAAGTAGGTCAAATAGCAGATATGTATACATAAGACTAGTGCGAAAATGAATGGCTCTAATTATCAACGTATATCGATAAAAGCGGAATCGAATTTTCGATGAGTTAAGGTGAGAGAGTGAATCCTTACCAAGGTAATAATAAGTTAGTAACAGCCTGTTTTCGAACATGTATTTTGGGTTTCACTCTACGGATAGCCAAATCGGAAGCTATTTGGAGTAGGTTTGAAGTGTTTGTCTGTTCACTAACTGGAAAGATTCCACTATGT